ATAATATAATATAATATAATATAATATAATATAATATATAATATAGCTGCATACTCACAGGGGTGGGTATAATGTTCTCCACGCTGATGCCCACATACACTAACCGCTCACGTCTGAAAGAGAGAAAACAAGATCCAAACAAGGCTAGTCATCATTCATGACGATTCAGCTGGCGATTGAGCTGGTGAGAGCGTTTATGAAGTGATAATACCGTATACCGTGATAAAAGCATTAGCAATTAATCACAACATGAAAATTTGATACTGGCATATCCCTAGACGTGTGTGCATGTGTGTGTGGATCTACACCTTCGTTCAGCTCTCTCTTTCTTCTTCAAAGCCGTGTCCAGATTCTGAAGCTGCTCTTCCAGCCTCTCACAGAGAAGCTTCTGTGAATGACAAGAGCACATACTTCATGACTACAGCTCACATACACACGCAGGGCATCGACACAGAGATTGAAGCCCTTACATGCTGGCAGGGAGGGCAGAACCATTCTCCATCAGGAATGATCATTAGAGGGGGTCTCAGACAGGCCGTGTGATAGCCGCTGTCACACATGTCACAAAGAAGGATCTGTGACAAACATACACAAGAGAGACATGATGTAAGCAAATAGGATTACTGTAGTATAAAAAATATATTGTACAATACATACGGTACAGTATAGCATAGGACAAACAGATGCATTTGCATGGACATTTCCATATTCATAGCAAATGATTTAAAACTAAAACACTTACCTTTACAAGATACTTCTCCCATCTGTCTGGTGTGGCCGACTTGCCGATCTTCCGCAGCAGTTTGATATGGAGCTCAATCAATGGCCGAGGAACTAAATTGAACAAAAAAAGCAGAATTTCTATTATTTGATCATTTTTGTAACATTACCATGAAACTTCTGTTTTTGAAGGGTATCAAAACATGCTTGTGATACCTTCGTGATATTTTCTTAACTGATGCAATCACTTTTAGACATTCAAACACTTTTATGGGGACCACTGTCTTATTTATTTTATCATTTATGTATATAATTCATCCTATTTTCTTTCCGGTTACATTTTATAATTTTTGCTTAAAGGCACAATATGTAATTTTCGCCACTAGAGGGCGCGTATTCAAAACAAACAAAGAAACAAAGGCTAGTTTGATGATGCCGTGACTGAGTGTGGAATCATGGGAGTTGTGGTCTTCATCTCCACAGCCGATGCAATCCGACGGGACTCGGGCAGAAATCATGTTCATGGATGAGCTAATGATTTATTAACGTAGTAGAATGAAGCAGGGTGAGGCTGAAAGCCGTCGAAGCGAAACGAGGCGCTGAACGAGCGCGACACACGGCTCGAAAGCAGCGGAGCTTTTATTATGCCACAGTCGAGCGCTTCCGCTGCTTCCGGTCGTGCGTATGTGGGGTAAAGCAGCGGAGCTTTTATTATGCCACAGTCGAGCGCTTCCGCTGCTTCCGGTCGTGCGTGTGTGGGGTAAAGCAGCGGAGCTTTTATTATGCCACAGTCGAGCACTTCCGCTGCTTCCGGTCGTGCGTATGTGGGGTAAAGCAGCGCTGTTTTATCATACTAGATACGTTTGAAAGTTCTGTTATAATGCTACTCTGTGCGGTCGTCACCGGTCTATTAAAACGCACAACATATTAAAGCGTCTTGGTGTTTCCATGTTTTCTACAAAACAAAACCGGAAATCGAGGGGTTATGACGTCACTGGCAGGCGACACAATGACACTACGGACATGGTGCGTGTCTCTAGTTAAAATTGCTTATTTCTCTGGATTTAAACATTCTTCGAAACATTTGGGATAATGTAAGTACACAAGTCAGCATAATACATAACACTGTTCTAGTGGTTTTGGGATATTTTAATAAAAAAATCTTACATATTGTGCCTTTAACACTTTTTATTTATTCATTTAAATAAATGCATTTTAAAACACATCCCTGTCTTTACTCTTTACTATACGGTATTATCAAATTCATCCAATCCGCTGTCAGCAGTGAGAGCATGAAGACCAGTAATTCTGCAGTGAAGCTGACATACGCAATCCTCCTAAATGACAACATGTCGTGGAGCTCGCGCTCGGCTACGATGTAGGTGATACGTGTACACAGTTAATACAGTATTGAAAGGGGGCGGGGCGTAAACAATCGCGCGTAAACAAATTAAAATTGTTACATTGTAGCATAGGAAGTGTGACAGCGGTTCCGCGCATGCGCACTGTGCGACTACAGTCCCATCGGTGTTTATAATCTGAATGTAAATGTATCAGGCCAATTTATCGTACGATACCTGAAGTGTCTCTCCAGTTAATTGTGACAAATAGCATGCTAACACCCTTAGCAGTGCGTACAGGCAATTACGTGATTTTCCCACTGGTTAAGGGTGGGAAATTCACACATGACTGTTTTCAAAAACACTTGGCCACTTCACGGTCCTTCTGAAAGGCATCGGGGGACACGATTCCCATCCAAACAAAGACTACGAGGAGCTAACAAGCCCAACTTTAAGTGATCAAACCCCTGATGGGTAAAGATGAGGAGCCTGTCCAGATAAACACAAACCCAGGCTCTCGCACAGCTCACCCGCGGATGTCTCCTGTAAGTACCGCTCCAGCTGGGGGAACGACAGCTCGGGCAGGTCCAGAACAGACCCGTAGCGCTCCAAAAACGAGCAGACCACCGCAAAACCGGGACTGACATCTGGAGGAAGAGCCGCTGTGGAGCCCGGAGCAGCCATCTTTCCTGGAGATGACGAGCTGTGCTCTGCTTAGACCCAAAACTGCCCACAATACACCGCGACACCCCCCCAGAGAGAGCTTCAACTAGATCCAGAGGGGCATCTAACGCGCGTGGAGCGCCACAATGCCACCACCATCACCCTCATCCTCATCCTCACAACAATAAAGTGCTGCTTTAACATGCCACAGTTTGTTTGTTTTTCCACTGACTCTTTTGTAATAGAAACAGCGTCGTGCTTGTGTTTATTCGTGATCGGGATGAATAGTTAAATAAATAAATAAATAATATTTAAATGCAAATTTTAAAAATAGAAAAATACTTTGATATAATATGATATATATATATATATATATAATATAACAATATAATATAATATATAATATAAAGTGCTGCTTTAACATGTCACCCTTGTTTTCACAGACATTTTTATGTTGTAAACGGTGTCGTGCTTTTGTTTATTTGTTACCGGGATTAATAGATAAATAAATAAATATATATTTTTTAAATGTAAATAAAAAAACACTTAAAAATACTTTGATAACAATATATAATATAATATGATATACTATAAAGTGCTGCTTTAACATGTCACCCTTGTTTCCACAGACATTTTTATGTTGTAAACAGTGTCGTGCTTGTGTTTATTTGTTACGGGATGAATAGTTAAATAAGTACATAAATGCATTATATATTTAAGTGTAGACAATAATAATAATAATAAAACAGAAAATTCTATTTATTAATTATGACCAAATAATATAATATTCTTATCTTTTTTTTTTGTATATCCTTTAATTAATTTACTACCGTCAGCAATATAATAGCACGAAAACCAATAACAGTCATTCTGATATGACGTAAACATATGCAATTCTCCTAATAATATTTTATAATATATTGTGTATATAAGTAGTGGCAGCTTTTTGTACGTCACTGAACGCCAGCCAATGAGAAGCGTACGCTGATTTGACGCCGGCCAGTGACGTACGTTGTGGGCGTGTCCCGCCGTCACACGAAGAGAAACACAACACAAGCAAGATTGAGTTGCAGGCCGAGGCAAGATTAGATAATATAAATGAAATACATTTATAGTGCATGATTTATAAAGTTGTTTTTGTTACGAATATAATTTGTTGCATGAATAAAAAGCTCGTTTAAAGCGGATAAGGCAGGTTTTGTTGTGTGCATGCATGTACAAGTGCTTCTAAGCTGGGTTTATCGCTTCTAAATGGTATTTTAGGTTAATAAAATGTTAAAAAGCAGTTAGGGTTGCTTAGATTAGAGTGGCATCGCTTACAACAAAGTGCATTGATGGTGCCAGATAGTAAAACCATAGTACTGAAATTTTAACCTATTCATGTACTATTGTATTTATATGGCACTTCAAGGAACTTTAAAAATAGCATGGTACTTAATAAAATAAATTCATGTGATTTGTCTTCCACTCTGTTACAGGAAAGCTGATCATGTCTTCTCCAGAAATTGCATCTTTATCCTGGGGCCACATGAAGGTCAAAGGTTGCTCCACATCCTATAAAGACTGTAAAGTGTGGCCAGGTGGCAGCCGAGCCTGGGACTGGCGTGAAACCGGTACAGATGTAAGATTAACACCAGATCACACTGTAAAATCATCCTCAACTTATGACATTATCCTCTTATAAGTTCACATTGTCATAAAAATTGCAACGTGTTTGAGAGCCATTTGATGTTACAGAAATGTCTAATATAATGTACATTTATTTTGTCTCTTGTTTTGTCAGTGCAAAACACATTGTGTCTACTGGAATACTGTTTTGTTTTATTACATTTTAGAATAATAGTAAAGCTTTTAAAACTATGAAATAACACAAATAGAGTATGTAGTGACCAAAAATATATCAAAACATATCAAAATGATCTTGTATTTGAACCAGTTTGCTTTAATTAAATGTTATTTATTAGAGATCTGTCTAAAGTGCATCTGTGCTCCTGCCAGCATTATCCAGGCGTCCAGCCAGCCGACCTGGAAGAGGTCCTGAGGAAAGGAGTGCAGACGCTGGTCATAGGAAGAGGGATGAGTGAAGCTCTACAGGTAACAACGTGAATTTGCTGATCAGCACTGTCCATCATCTGAATATTGCGATCCTTAAAGGAATAGTTCACCCAGAAATGAAAATTTGCTGAACATTTACTCACCATCAGGCCATCCAAGATGAGTTTGTTTCTTCAGGGGAACAGATGTGGAGAAATTGAGCATCACATCACTTGCTCAGCAATGGATGCTCTGCAGTGAATGGGTGCCGTCAGAATGAGAGTCCAAACAGCTAAAAACATCACAATAATCCACAAGTAATCCACACCACTCCAGTCCAGCAGTTAACATCTGGAGAAGACAAAAGCTGTGAGTTTGTAAGAAACAAATCCATCTATGTTTTTAACTTCAAACTGTTGCTTCTGGCTAAAATATGAGTCCATAATCCATAATAACGCTTCCTCCAGTGAAACAGTCCATCTCCTGTTGTCCTCTCAAATCCACCCACATATGTGTTTAGAGCTGTTTTCACTAGTAAATGGTGTTTAATCTGTACATATTTCTCTCCTGATTCAGATGAGATGAATTTTTCACTGGAGGAAACGTTATTATGGACTCGTACTTTAGCCAGAAGCAACAGTTAAAAGTTAAAACATCTTGATGCATTTGTTTCTTACAAACACTTCTCAAGATGTGAACTGATGGACTGGAGTGGTGTGGATTACTTGTGGATTATTGTTATGTTTTTATCAGCTGTTTGGACTCTCATTCTGACGGCACCCATTCACTGCAGAGGATCCATTGCTGAGCAAGAGATGGAATGCTACATTTCTCCAAATCTGATGAAGAAACAAACTCATCTACATCTTGGATGGCCTGAAAATGAGTACATTTTCAGCAAGTATTACTTTAAATAAGCGAATTTACTTTTTTTTTATGTTTCAGGTGCCTCCGTCCACCCTAGATTACGTGAAGAAGCAGGGTGTCGACGTGAGGGTGTTTCAGACCGAGCAGGCCGTTAAAGAATATAACGCTCTGGTGGAACAGGGAGCTAAAGTCGGCGGGGTCTTCCACTCCACCTGCTGATCACGTCATTAACACAACCAGCTAATTCATTTTATGGGTTGTTTAAAGTGACTTACATTTCAAATGAACATTGTTTTCTTAATAGATGCTTCATAATTTGCACTCTGAGCTAACGGATGATTTTTTTTTCCTTTGGTGAAAATGTTATTTGCTTTATAATCATTAAATGACTATTCTTTGGATGTAGGCTGTGAAAATACCCCATTATCACACACACCAGTGATACAAATGAACAAAAAAAAAAACATTTATTTCAAATAAAATGTAATTGTGAAAACACTTGAATTTGTGTTGGCTGTTAATTTCACATGTATTGCTTGGGTTCGTCAGGTCAGCGGCGAGCTGGTTTGGGCATGATGAAGACTTTGACGGGTTTGCTGAGGTGGATTGTGCCCTCGATGCAGCTCTCGCTGGTGGGCAGGCCGTCCATACTCTCATTCCACGCAGGTTTAGAGGCAGATGGTTTACTGCTGCTGGAGCTGTAGGCCAGGAGCAACCGCACCTCAACCTGACAGGCCTCTGAAAGTAAAAACAGTTATTTTAGTATCGTTGAGATACTATTATAGTTTTGAATTAGTTTTTATTTTTATATTTTCCGTTTTCATTTTAATTTAAAAGTTACGAATTTTTTTGTGTTTCTGTCATTTTTATAAATATGTTTATATAGTTTTATTTCAGTTTTAGTCATTTGAGTACGTGAAGTTAAACTAAATATAAATGGGAAATGTTTTTAATATTTTATTTCCAGAGTTTACTTAATTTCAAGTAACAAAATGTTTTTTTTAATGGTTATAATAATATATAATAACACAATATAAAAAATAAGAACACAAAAATATACGATGCACTTTAGATTACATTCTACTTTACGCTGCTATTGCACTCCTACAAAAATGACTGGGATGGTAACAGATGGTATATAAATGCACACATTAAAATACTATGGTATAGTAAAAAGCACTCCAAGGTACTTTTGTTAGTGTAGTATACGAAAACCTTTTTAATGATAATGTCTTCCTGCAATTTGTTAGTCAGCATAAAACGTCATTTGCAAATATTTTACTTCAGTAATCCTAAGAATTTCCGTGCAAAAACAGTATACAGTGAAAATGATATAATTAAACAATGTAAATACTATTTTTTTTCTTTTGAATAGCATGCACTGATGACTTGTGCAAAATGAACCCTTTTCACAGACTGATGCCACATTTCCACAGTTATTAACATCGTAAATCTTAAAGGTTGTTTATATATATATATATTTTTTTTTTTACATTTAATGTACATTTATAATACTATACTCTTGTGTTTTCTACATTGGCATTCAATTACAGAAAGTGTTTCTAAAACAACAGCTTGAGGGAGTGACTGCAAATTGGACATCTTTCTCTTTCTGACCACTGTAATCAATCAGTTTTTTTCCTTTTTTGTAAGGTCATAGAAACACTATTGTGGATTTTTTTTTCTTTTGCTATTGGGGCAAATGGAAAGGCAAAAATTGTATTTATTGTAGTTTCCGTTCACCACTACAGAAGTTAAACTCAACTATGACGTCTTACGCTTCGGAGAACCCTGGAAATATGTAAAGGGTTCATAAATGTAATCAATTTTGATTTTCTCCAAAGCAGAAATGTATTCCGCCTCAGTTTTCTGCTGGTCACACAGACACTCACAGATATAAAATAACTCATGCCTTGTTAGACTAGATGCAGTTCTATTTATATCTGTGGAACTGTGCAGGGTTCATGCTATTCGCTGCCAGCAGAGAAGGATTTGTCTTTGGTGTTTGCAACATTATTTTATACAAGGACAAAACACAACGAATAGCTACTGGATAATAATCCTCAATCAAAAATACACGACCGATGTCTTGATGTGCACGTGTCTACTAAGACTCATTTTAGAAAGGACACGTACCTGTCCAGGCAGAGTGAGAGAGATAAACCTGCGTGATCAGTCGCACACGTCCAGGTCCTGGGGTCCTGAAATCTCCAGGTTTGGGGTGGATTATGTGAGACTGTCCATCTGGATACAGCACCTGTGGGACAA